GGTCTACAGAATGAGTTCCAGGACAGCCAGGGCTACACAGAGAAACCGTGTCTCAATAAATAAATAAATAAATAAATAAATAAATAAATAAATAAATACCTCCCCCAAAGAAATGGCTGGTGTGGTGGTGCACACTTGTAATCCCAGTCAGTTCTGGGAGGTGGAGGTGGTGGGATCTCTGGGGCTCCCTGGCAAGTCAGGCTAGCCTATTCGGCACATTCCAGGCCTATGAGAGATTATGCCTATAAATGAATAAGTAAAACGTGGTAGATGGCATCTGAGGAATAGCACCTTAGGAATGACCCTCAAGAGCTATCCTCTTACCTCCACACACACACATGCACACATGTATACATGCATATACATGCACGTATGTATAGCCACACATACATGTACATAAGTATAGCCATGCAAACATGCCCTTATGTATAGCCACACATACCTGCACATAGGTATACATGCATGTACCTGTACATGCACACATGTATGTATACCCCCCCACATGCACATATGTATACCCACATGTACACATAGGTATACTCACACATACATGTACGTATGTATACCTGCACATATATGCACACATACAGTGAGGCAGGTCTTGGGTGTAATTTGCTTGAGGTAAATCCTAGGTGAGGAGAGTGGGCATCCAGCCTAGCCCAGTGCAAGAACTATAGAGTGCGCAACCTGTATCCACAGAAGTGATTGGCCTCCAGTCCACAGGCCATTTAGGCCCCAGGGCTTCACTAGGCAGCAACATGGTCAGGCCGAGCTCTTGGGCAGTACTGAAGCCTGGGAATCCCATCCTGAGGGTCCCTCACTATCCAGGGATTGGGAGGGCTCATTTCAAAAGGTGATTAGAGGTACAGTTCCCAGGGCTCAGGCTTTGTGAGGCAGGAACCCCCACTCCAGGTTTGTCAGTCTCCTCTCCTATGAAGGTCAGAACTAGGATGGAGACCCAACAGGAGCACATGCCCAGGGGGTAACTTCACCCCAGCTACCCTTTGTCTTGGTCTGGGTACCAAGTTTCCACCGGGAAACTTCAGCCTGTGGCCAAGATAAATGAATACAGGTCTGGCTACAGCTTCCAGAATGAGGTGGCCTCACTTCTATCCAGAAGCCTGGTGCCTAGCACAATAACAACCATAGCTTCTGTCCTGCCTGGGTAGGCTTCCTTCTGTGGGGTGGGAGGGACTAGGTAGTTGGACTCCATGGCTTTGGCTCTCCAGCACTGCCTGACAGGAACTGTGTGGAGTCAGCCTCTGTGGCTGACGCAGGTGAGCATAGCAGAAATCTCTGGACTGCCCCGAGACCTGATGGGAGTATGACAGAGCCTCCGGGTACCTCCTTTGGGAACTAGTAGCCCTCAGTTCTCAAACTACCACTCCAAACATGGTGACCCTACTTGGGGGCAGGGGCCAGTGAGAGAACGAGGTTGGACAAGTTAGAGGGCGTGGACCACCCTCCCCACCCCAGCCCAGAGCGAAGGAAGATGCAACTCTAGACAAAGCTCTTCTCTCCAACCAGGGAGGAGACTACCGGCCTGCCCGGCATGGCACTCACTTAACAGATAATAAGATACCGGGCATCAAGGCAGGGCACTGTCACCTGTGCTTGTGTGAGATACAAAGATAGACTGGGATGGGAGGTGGGAGAGACATTCAAGGAAGGAAGACAGGAGGAGGCAAGGAGACAGAAACCAAGAGAAAGGAAGGAGAAAGACTCAAAGGAAGACTTGCCTGCCTCTCAAGGTCCAGGCATCCAGAGGCACCTCAGAGAGCTGGCTCACCAGGCCACCTGGGACACATCTAGGGTCAGCAGAGGACAGCATGACCAGAACACAGCCTGGAACTAGGCTGGACTGCCTGGTTCATGCCACCCTCTCCCTGGGCCTGTATGGCACAGGTGGCCATAGCTCCTCCCAGCCTCTCCCACTGGCCAGGCAGGTCACTCAGGATACTCCAGGGGAGGCCTTCCCAAGCCCTGTCTACACCCCGGGCAGGTTGCCTCGTCTTGGTGCCAGGCGGGTGTGAGGCCAGCTGTGCTCTGCCTGGGCCCCTCCCAGCCAGGGCTTCCTGGAGGTTCCAGAGCCAAGCCTGCCAGACCGGTTCCTACAGCCTGGCCAGCCCTGCCAGTTCCCTGGGAGCCCTCGATCCTGGATAGTGTTAGGGCAGCCCACAGGCCTATCCCAGCAAGACCACTATGGAGGAGACACTTTTCAGTGGTGGCTGGCAGGCCTGCCCCTTTCTGCTCAGGTTTCCTGGGGGGGGAGGGGTTTGAGGGGGGAGGAACAGCCTCAAATGACCTCTCTCAAAGCCAGAGGGAAAGGGGGAGGGAGGTTCAGGTGGAGTTTGGAGGCCAGGTGAGGAAGGGACTGCCCATGGTTGAGGAACTGCTGGTCCTGTGTAGGTCTTGAGGAGCCAGACAAAAGAACAGCAGAGTATATGGGCGACCCACACACATACACAGTGGCTCTGCCCAGGCTCCTCTTGGCACAGAATGAAACCTAAGGAGCAGACTGGCTGCCCTGTTGCGATTTCCAGACACATGAAGACTATCACCAGGGCTGATCACGCCTACCAAAGCTGTGTTAGAACTTCAGTCAGCCACAGGCCCTGTTACCTCTTGTATTCATCCCCATGGCATTGGGGATGGGGCCACTCTCCCACCTTTGTCCTGTAGACAATCAGGACACAGAGGCCTCAGGTTTGCAGCTGGAGCCCCAGTAGAACAGGGGCCTCCCTCCTTGACTTAGTACAATGCAGGCTAGGAGACACAGGAAGGCAGACCCACCCCAGGCTCCTAAACCATGGCCTCTGAGTCAAGTACACCATCGAGGAGCCTAAGATTAGAGTTGTAGCACCCCCCTACTGGAAGGGGACCTTGAGCTATGGCCTAAGGGCCCAGTGTCTTGGTGTTGGAGTGAAGGTGGAGGGAGAGTGGGGGTGGACCACTCAGGGCATCCAGAACAGAACACTTCAGCCATTAGTGTTCCTAGGATAAACTTCAGTAATCGCACCTTAACTCATGTCCAAGGACCCAGGACCCCAGCAAACCTCCCTAGGGACCTCAGCAGCTGGAGGCACATCTGGTCCTCCAAGAGTTCATGATTCATGAGACAATTATTTGTGAGTACCTGTAGAGGACCGTGGGGTTAGTCAGGTGCTGAGAAAAATAAGCCCTGCAAGCTTGGCCTGGGGGCTCAGAGCCTGCTTCCAACAACTGGTCTCTGGCCCTGGGATGGGGACCTAGC